TCTTGTCTCTCTGCTAGCAGCTCCGTGAAGCTACAGGGACTCTGCCTGCTCAGTTCATCCAGGAAACACAACTTGAAGCCGGCCTTGGCTGTTTGTTCTTCATGCTTATATATCGGACCATTGTGACTCGCTCTGCGGTTAAAACAGACGGTGCATGAATGCGGTTTTGCGGTAAGTGAAATTCGAGTGCTTTATTTATGTGTTAATGATTTTAATCAGCTACGTGATGAACGTTAAGGCTTGGTTTAGCGTGTAAGCGAGTGGTAGCTACATCGGTGCTAACGATGCTAATCGTAGCCTCCAAGTTCAAATAATAGACTGTATATATAAAGGTTAAAACGAAATAGACAAGCGTTAAGTGGGATAATACTGTACAACAAACGGCTTCTGTTTGAGGTTATAAAATAAGGTTACATCCTTGTAACTTAGAGAGATATTTTATTATGTAGGTAGGAACTGTATGCATCGCTAAGGTTAATTTAAATTGGCTATGCTCAAGTATGTAGACAAGCTAATGTCGAAGTAGTGTAGTGAAATCAACCTCACAATAAGATGTGTATATTACAATTATTAATGTCATATTTCAAGATGATTACTTAGATATTACAATATGGTTGGTTGAGCTGGAGTTCATTATTGAGCTTACACGTTAACGTAGGGGTGGGCGATATTGAAAAATATATTATCACGATATTTTTCAAGCAGTATCACGATAGACGATATATATCACAATATTTTTTCATGTCGGTTATTATGGTTATTTTTCAAGTTACTTAACAGTACAAGCACCTACAAGGTAACAGAAACTAAAACAAAAAGGAGTAACAGACCAAAATAGCATTTCAAGCTGGTTTTATTTCTGAAATGAATCCCTGAATGAACAATTCAACATTTTGATATGGCTTCAAGGCACAGTTTCTCAGTATAAAAATGAACTTTCTGAGGTAGCACTAGCACTAGCGTGTCAAACAACTCTGACTGAACTACCAACACGAAAGCAGAGGTGCGCTGACATTGTGAAATCGATCGGGCTTGATATATGGTGAAATTAAAATCAGTAGGTGAGGCTGGGGGAGCGGGAGGGGTCCGCTGTCATAGCCTCCTGCGCCGCGCACGGAGAGCCTCTTCCCCTCCCGCTCCCCCAGCCGTTCAAATCCAGTTTTGGACAGTCTGCCGTGGTTCCATCCCATTTCAAGTGCTGTTCGAGGCTCGGCGTAACCCTCGGAACACACTCTCCAATCACAGAGCTTGAGGACTATCACGGGGTTTGTCAAACAGAGCACATGGTGTAGTCCAAATGATAGCTGGGGATTCTGGGTAGTGTAGTGTCTTCTGCCATCCTTTACTCCGAAAAAATATTTGTGTCTCCGAATCGAAGGGGAAAAATACAAAAGCATTGCACACAATTTAAACCAATCAATGTTGTGTAATTAACAAGGATAATCTGGTGTTTTTTAGTCGATGAGTAGTGCAGATATCACTGTAAAATCAATCGACAGTAAGGGGAATACTTACTTCCGGGTGTACAATTATCCGTTATCCAATGAGAATGGACGCTCACATTGCCTTTAAGGGCAGCCGACACAAACGAATGCCGTGCTTCTATGAGCGTCAAATCCTGCCGCAGATGTGAATACATTGCAATCAGTTGAAAGCTATTTGCGTCCCTTTATGAAGCTGAAGGAGCCTCGGAGCGTCACAACTGCACGCCACGGACACTGACCAAACGTCGCTCCTGGACGATTATGGAGTGAGAGTGTGTTGGCTAACCCTAACCCTAGCCGGACAGGGGATCGTGTCCGTCTCTGTGGCTTCAGGCTTGATCGCCGTTCAAATGACAGTTTTAATGATCTCAATGGGAATGGTTAGCGTTTCATATGCACGCAAATAAAATAAAATATAAGCCAACAGAATCAACCAAGACAATAAATGAAGTGCAATACTGTCTGAATCCTAACTAGACAGCTTTAGAGCATGTCTTTCACATCAGTTTTTTTTTCAAGTTTTTTTTTTTTTTTCAAGTTTAAGAATAAGTCCAATTCCAGTTTTGGAAAGTCTGCTGTGGTTCCATTCCATTTCCTAGAGCTGTTTGACGCTCGGCGTAACCTTGTCGCACTTCCACTCCCACATCCAATCACAGGGCTTGATGACTAATCACGGGGTTTGTAAAGCAAGGCGGATGTTGTAGTCCCAAACAATAGCTGGGGATTCTGGGTAGTGTAGTGTCTTCGGAAACTGTAGTGTCTTAACTCTGTAGTGTCTTTGTTTCTCTGAATCGAAGGTTAAAAACACAAAAGCATTGTACACAATTTAAACCAATCAATATTGTGTAATTAACAAGGATAAACTGATGTTTTTTAGTGGATGAGTAATGCAGATATCACTGTGTAATCATTTGACATACATCCGGTTTTATTATGAAAACTTCGAGACCGGAAAAACTGTTTTCACCCACGCTAACTTTACATGGAAGCTGCATACACGTTCTCCTGGCGAGACCTCAAATCATCTTCGTAATGTCTATCAAACTATAGATCCTACACATCGACTGGACGTGGATTCTAAGAGTACAATATACACTTCTCGCCAGAAATCGAATCAAAAAGCATTTTAATGGCTAAACTAACCCACAATTTAGGATTTTCCAGAGAGGGTTATTTGTGAATAAACGTCCCTCCGGAGCGTTTGCAATGAACGGACCGGGAGCATGTTGTTTCTTACACGACCACTAGAGCACCTCTAGTGGTCGTGTAAGAAACAACATACACTTTAAAACGGGTCGTAATAAGGGCACGAACAATCGGCCTATATGGTCGTTTTTTGTAGGAGGACAGGCTGTTCAATACTCTCATTAATAACATGATAGGCAGGAAAGGTAACACCTAACATCGAAATGATCTACACAGTTCACCTTGTGTTCCTCCCATCTCTTATGCTGACAATCAACTCCTGTAATTGTAACCTTTGCAATTGGAAATATACATGTTTTATTCTTTATTATTAAATCCTTGATTAGTGTATGGAGTCCTAGTATTTGTTCAGTGTTGCTTCTCAAATTCCTGACATTATCATGAAACTAATGAATAGGGTAATTTGCATGTTTACTGGTCTAGTTAAAAAATGTAGTAGAGAAACCCCCACATGTCACTATCAAGATGACACCCTGTAGCCATCACTGCTTTCATGTATTACTCCCAGTAATACCTCCTTTTTATTCATTCTTTTTGTGGCAGGACACTTCTTTAAGGGACTCAAACACCTCTTCCTAAATTCTTCCAAAGTGTGTATGCAATATGGTTGCCAATTTGCTTACCCCCAACAGTTATTTGAGTATGCGAGCAGATTTTTGCCACAAAGTTCATGTGTCCAAAAAATGGCACATTTACTTTTCATTTGAATTCCCAAGAAGTAGGTCAATGAGTGTGATTTAGTGCATATTTGTTGCCATATGTCCTGTGGTATGTCTTTGTCTAATTCAGTTTCACATCTCCCTTTTACGTGTGCAGTGTATTACTTAAATCAGGGGTGTCAAACTCAAGGCCCGGGAGCCAAATCCGGCCCGTGACTTCATTTTCTGTGGCCCCACAAGAGCTTGCAAAGAATATAATATGTTTAGGTTAAGTGCCGCTTTACAGAAGCACGTTGCCCATAAACTACATGTCCCACAATGCATCTCAGATATGCCTTTTTTCTCAGAATGTTGCTGTTCTTTCTTCAAAATGTGCCTTTTTTTTCAGAATTGTTTTTTTTTTCAAAATGTTACTTTTTTTTCAAAATGTCACTTTTTTTTTTTACCTTTTTTTCAGAATTTGGCTTTTCTTTTTAAATCATGTTGTGACATTCTCACTGAAGATACTTGCAATTATTTGCCCTCGACTTCTTCTTTCAGATGTAGTTAATTATGAAGTTATTATATATATATATGCACTTATTGTAAGTCGCTTTGGATAAAAGCGTCAGCTAAATGCAATGTAATGTACTATATTTAAAATAATGTATTATATTACATGATTGCCTCTGCATTGGATTAATATCAGATATATATATAGTATATATATGAATGTTGACAGCTTAGGAAGATATAACCATGATGTCATTGAGAACAACTGAAGTGTTGGTGAAATTGAATATATGAAGGAGAAATCATAATATAGAAACCAAATGATGTTTATTAACATATCTACTTGCACAATATCGAGATATACACTTTTTAAAATGTTTATGTTAAATAACAAAAATAATTTAAATACATTATACCCTATCAGATACTAAAAGTTATCATGTAATATACAGAGTTATAAAATAAAGCACGTGAATGTGGTCCTCCTGAATAAAAATGTTTTTTTTAAGCTGTAATAAAGAAATCAGCTTATTTCCCCAACACACAAACTGAACCAGCAAGTTCTTTATTTTGCGTGTATAAGAAACTCCCCTAAGTCCTGCCTGAGTAATGTAAAGACAGACTGAGCTATAATGCAGACTGAAATGATTCTTACATGCAGTCAGTAAAGTTGAAATAAATCATTGAAAGAGCATCAAACTGCAGAAATGTATTTATGATTTCAGATTCTCTTTCTGATAGGGGAATACCAATTGGAACGTATGTCTTTGGTAGTGTTGCTTAATCCTTTATTAATGTATGTCAGCAATAAGCATCTTTGAGTTTATGCTCTTTCACTTGAAAACTGGCTTCATGCTTTTAGCTAGCTCTTTCAAAAAGAGTCTTTCAAACTATTTACTATGGTTTCTTGGTTATGCAACATTTACTGGAGAAGGTAATCGGTAAGATCTCAGAACAAACATGAGCAGGTGAGCAAACCATAGCAAGATCAGACAGGTCACATGATCAAAGAACACTACGAACGAAAAACCAAGTAGCCAGAATGACCACAAGTCATTCTTACTACTTATGTGTTACTGATCTAGAAAGCACGAGTAAATGATTTAACAATTTAAAAAGCTTTGTGAAGTATGCCTTATCAGAAAGTAGCACCACAGTCTTTTAAACAGGTAGCAATTTCAATTTATTAGACACATTTAAAAACACTGTAAATTAGCTCATTTCAAAAGTAAAAGAGGTTAAATAGGACCCAGTGTTTCTGATTTTAGGAGCAATGTGCTCAGGTAGGAAGGATTTGCACGGAGGCTGCTGGAGTTATGGTACACTGAAAACCTTATAATATCAGTAGCTTAATATCAGTAGCTAATTTCCTATCCATATAGGTCCAACCTTAAACATGAGGCCTGTACAATTCCTGTCAACCTGAGAGCCAAAAGCAGACCTCCCCCCATCATTAATGTATGCAAGTGTAGTGTTAGATACACTCAATCGTTCACAGTCATGCTAACACCATCTGAATATTTAAACAACAAATTCTTTAAAAATCTTTAAAAAATATGATGGCCAAAGCTTTCTATACAATCATATACCTTTTGTATGCAGGACGATCCGAGTAAGTGGTGCTTTGTGATTGTTACAACTGTCCTGAGTTACAATAAGTCAAAAAAATATTAAAGGATACAAACACACAATGTCTCATTTTTAACAGCATGGCTCCACTGACAACCACTGCAAAGTCTTTGGTCACATCCAGGAGTGATTCTCTGCTGCTGGCATCACGCTGCTGAGAAGTTGGATCTGATGGAGTCCTCTCGTAGCTGACGGTGCTTCCCAGTGTCACACTCTTCACTCTGTGTGCGACGCTCAATAGTAATCCTGTAGTTTTTTCTGCAGAACAATGAATCATATTAAAAGGAACAATCTCGTTTGACCCTGTTTTTGGAAACAAAGCGACCTTGAAAGCATGAGTCTAAAACTGTCAGCATTGTACAACGATTCTGTGTCTACAGTAAAAGTAAAATTACTTATTTGTATTTCTGGCAGATTGGGCTTTTATTGCAGTTTGCACTGTACAACAAACATAATACGTTTTTCTGAAGTGTTTTAAACAGCATTTTGTTTTTTTTAACTATTTTTTGACATGTGCCACCATACTGTGCTGCCAGAATCCATGTGGAAATTACAGATAGTATATATACGTATCTGTTTTATACCATATACAGTATCTATAGGCCTTTGAGTCAGGTGGAGTTGTTTAAAGGGGCCATATCCTGCTCATTTTCAGATTCATATGTGTATGTTGTGCCTGGGACATGTCTCCATGCTGTTATGTTCAAAAAGCTCTTTATCTCTCGAATACTGCCTGTGCTGCAGCACCTCTTTTCACCCTCTGTCTGAAACCAGAGCCCAGTCTGCTCTGATTGGTTAGCTGGTCTGTTCTGTTGTGATTGGTCAACCACTTAGAGATGTCCCTCCCCCTTTAGCCTATCATGTACAAAGTGAGCGCTAGCCAATAGAGTGTTACATAGTGATGTCACTTAGCAAACAAAGGAGTCCAATGGAAGTGTTTCAGGCATGGGGGGGGGGGGGAGGGGAGTGTGTTGGACAGAAACTTCCTCTGGAGGGATCACAGGGATTTGACATGCACAAAACCCTATAGAACACACTACAGGAGAGGGAGAACCTCAAAAGGCAGAATAGGGCCTCTTTCATTGACAGCTGACTGTAGCTGCCTGGACAGATTAGAGCGTATACATAGATACAGTACCTGAAAAAGTAGAATGCTATAAGCAATGCAGTTCCCAGAACAGCTCCCACTATGACTCCAGTCAAAGCTGATACTCCTAGTCCGCCTGTTTGGGAGAGCAGTTATTGTTAAAAACATGAACTCCATCATGCTTAGCGCACATTCTGGCTCACATTTCAAAGTAACAGTTGTTTTCATTTACATGATTTGTCTGGGATCTCTGGCTGTGCTTTATGTCTTCCTCTCAGGGTGAAATGCTCAGAGTTGAATGCAGGCAGCAGCTGGAAAGTTCCATTTTCACCAAAGTAGTTGGCAACCACCTGTAAATTAGCATTCAATATGATCATCCAGTTGGATTCTGACAAGCACACGTACCATCTGCTACCTGTTAGAGAAGATTTCAGAAGGAATTTAGTTTCTTCTTACCTCATATGTTCCTGCGTCAACATTCGTCATCGCCATCAGAGAGAAATCACCATTTCTGTCACCATTGACATCCATGGATACCTGCCCAGCAATTCCTGTTCATCACCACAAAGACAATAAGAATATCAGTGAACAAATCTCCCATGATATAGAGGACTAAATATTCCTGCCACTATAAACGATAATTACATTTTCATACTCAAAATCAGTACTTTCCTAAATAAAGGCCAGTTGTCAAATAAAAGCCACATCAAAAGCTTTCCATATCATTTGAAAAGAAATGACACGTAATGTAATAACCCTATATTCAACATATTGTTGCTGTGGGGTCCTTATCTAAGGTGCTATTGTCCTATTTCAGTCGCTGGGGGCATATTTGTGTTAATGTCCCAGCCAAACAGTGTTTTGTAGTAACGTGGAATTGGAACCATGCAAGTCACTTCATTTCCCAAAAAACCTTCCTGCAAATATTTTACAACTAAAGGGATTATTTTTATTAGAAGTTAAACAGGGCTTTTAATATCAAAATGGATGTAGGAAATATGGGGAAACATATCAGGAAAGTTATACACTCAAAGTTAAAGTATATATACACCAACATAAATATAAAGGGGTAAATGAGGCATGTATACACATATGTTTTTATACTGAAGTTTGTTAGCAGTAGCAAACGTAGTGTAAGGAATAGCACAGTGTTTATGTGAGAGTGGTTGAGAGAGAGAAAGAAAGAAGAGAGGGCTTGTGTGTGTGAGACGTTCATTGAGTAACACTATATCTGTGAAGGTATGTGGTGTGTGCACACTTTATTTGTCAGTAAATACATCTAAAAGTCCTTAAGACCCGAGCCAAGCTCTCGACGTTCTTTCCTGCCACCTGCTGATTAAAGTGTGTGTGTGTGTGTGTGTGTGTGTGTGTGTGTGTGTGTGTGTGTGTGTGTTGTGTGTGTGGGGGGGGGGGGGGGTGACCTGGTGTGTCCTGTGTGAGCAGAATCTGATCTCTGTTTCTTATCCAATATCTAATAGAACTGCTCGGGTCTTGATAGATTGAGTGGGGAAGTTCATGAGATCTTTCTAGAGGGTTATCAAGAATAACTTGTATCCAATAACCTTTCCCCTCTCTGTCTGTGTCTGTGTATTATCTTGTTCCGATTAACCCAGCCAAATCTTTGTTCTTGTTTTGTATCTATATCTACGCCGGGATCCGGAGTCGAGGCTGATCCTCTTGCTGTAGTCCTGTGTCTTGGATCCTCTATCCTGAGTTCTGGATTACGTCGTGGACTTCGGGTCGTGGCTGAACCTGTCTCTGCGGTCCTGCCTTGGGTCTCGTCATGCTGCTTCCCTGATGGCTTCCACAGGATTGAAGCTGACATCCTCGTGGATTCATCTTCTTATTACAGACACATGCATTTCCTAACATTCGGTCTATATGCTGTAAAATGTATTATCTCTTCGATTTACACACGGCATCTATTGCACGTCTGTCCGTCCTGGGAGAGGGATCCCTCCTCTGTGGCTCTCCCTGAGGTTTCTCCCATGTTCCCTTTAAACTGTGGGTTTTCTCTGGAAGTTTTTCCTTGTACGATGTGAGGGTCTAAGGACAGAGGGTCTAAGGACAGAGGGTGTCGTTTTTCTCATACTGATATTCTGAACAATCTGTGCTGTTGTATTTGCTGTAAAGTGTCTCTACTGTAGGCTATTTTTATTATATGTACAGCACTTTGGCTCGACCAAAAATCGTTTATAAATGTGCTATATAAATAAAACTTGATTTGATTTGATTACATTTGTCTGTAACGCAGTAATGTAACGCAAATACATTACATTCAGCATTACAGTTACTAGGCAGGAAATGATCTCGTTACTTGCGTGACTTTAAGGTTTTTGACTATCTGTATAAAGGAGGACAGAAAATAAATCAAACAACCCTTTTGGTTTGCGCTAGACTCGTGACTTCAAGGATGAGGAGACGGAGCACAAATGTCTCTTAGCAGAGATAAACAGTCGCAGTAAACATCATGGAGGACATGTTGCTGTTTCCACGGTGGAATCGCCGTCTTCTGAGCTCCAGAAAACATGATGTTCAAACAAAGAGCAGAAACAGAGGTCTGTGAAGAGAAGGCTGAAACTCAGCTAAATGCTGTGGTGATTAAACACCATATTATATTCCAAACCACATCAAGCATTATTTCTGAAACAGTATGGAGCTCTCTTCTGGGTTTACCACAAGGTGAGAACCTTATTATTTCCTGCTTTTTTACACATGCTCTCTCTCCAGTACAGGTTAGCTCTGAGTGTTAGCGATGCTTGCTAATGTAAACACAGACCATGGCCCTTTCTCATTTCTCTAACTCCTATCCTCGATACTTAGTCCCTCCCGCAGGAGATGCGAGCGGAGGAGCCGAGGAGGGGAGTCGAGGAGAGAGGAGGGGAAGCAGCAGGCGGTTAGAGAAATGAGAACTCCTCTCCTCTGAGCGGTCATTTTAAAGAGACGTCCATTAATGATGAAAGGAGACACAGCAGCCCTCTGTCTGATGGACAGATGTGTTCATGATGACTTATATATTTACTTTGATTCATTGACAGTGCAGTATAATGAGACAATAACAGGCTACAGATGCAGACACACACACACATATTTATATTTATATAGGCTATATATTTATATAAATATATACAATTTCAGAATCAAACAGAGCACTCTCATAATAACGTAACACTATCAGAGACTGGATATATCCCCCCCCCTCTCTGGTCGCTACAATGAGGAAATTAAATTACAGGCCAAAGGTTTTATTTACAAGTATTGAAAGTAAGCAGAGGACACCAAACCAACTGAGACCTGTCTGTCCGCTGCATCTACGCGCGCGCGCACGCGCGCGCGCACGCACGCACGCACGCACGCACGCACGCACGCACGCACGCACGCACGCACGCACGCACGCACGCACGCACGCACGCACACACACACACACACACACACACACACACACACACACACACACCACACACACACCACACACACACACACACACACACACACACACACACACACACACACACACACACACACACACACACACACACACACACACACACACACACACACACCACACAACACACACACCCACACACACCACACACACACACCACACACACACACACACACACCATATCTCACACACACCTACACACTGTACCACACGCACATTTACAGCTCCTAAAGCATAATCAGGCTACAGCCGTTGTGTATTTTATTATGTGAAGCACTAAATGGTCTTAGAAAAATATCGACTCTTTGTTTGTAGATATCTACTAAACTACAGCATACAAATACAGAGAGTAATGTAGGCCTGTTATACTGAGTGATATATATTTTACACACTGCTCTGCTTTCTGCACGGACCTCACAGCTGTTCTCACTGTAAACATCGGGTCGCGATGAAAGCAGTTAATAAAATAATATCCAGGGGATGCATGCAGAGCTGTCATTGGCTGAGATAAGTCCGGCCGTGCGTCACGACTCTTTGAAACATCTCTGTTCCCGGAAATGCATCCACGAAGGAGCCGTGGAGGACCCATCAGTGTCTCCTCGGTTATAGCTCCTTCAGAGAGCCTCCTCGACGCTCGATCCTCGGTCCTCGAAGTGCATTTAGAGAAATGAGATGTCCTTCAACATGACACGCTGAAATTAATTTCCGGGTCACTACCGGAGGACCGAGGAGTCGAGGAGTCGAGGAGGGGGATTTGATGAAATGAGAAAGGGCCCATATTACGAACATTTCAGAGTGGCCTTTTATTGTGGCCAGCCTAAGGCACACCTGTGCAATAATCAGTGCTTGAATTGGAATGAAAAAGGTGCCAGTACTCTAAAATCAGCAACTTTTTCAAGTCAATTTTATATATACAGCCCACAAACAAGAATTTGGCTACTATAATGCTGGTGGGTTTGTCTCTTTACTACTGTATATTTTAGAAAGGTTCACTGTACTTAACATTTTTTATGATAGGCAGCGGATATGGCTAAAGCTCAGTAAGGTCAATATTAACTGAAAATATAGCAATCAAAGTCTAGATCTTCTGCTGAAGACACATGAAGCAGAGACCTTTCAGGTGAGAGCCCCTCTGGTGGTGTTCAACATTAATTACAAGGAAACAAAGCTCTGGTCAGAAGCATTTTTTATAAAAAGCTTTAACAAAATTAAGTATTTCTGTACATTTTGAATGCAATCTAACTTTCCAACTCAGAAAACGAAAACGAAAAAGTGCCAAAAGTCTTCTCACATGGCTGAGCTGCTTTGCAATATACTTCACCACTGAAGAATACAAATATGTATAAAGTAAACTATGATGCAATCTAACTTTCCAACTCAGAAAAATGATAAAGAGCATGAACAAAGAACATGTAAAAACAAATACAAAATTTGCACAATCTAAAATGAGAAACTGTAACTGCAAGTAACAAAGTCTGAGCCATGGTAAAGAGTTACATTGAACACCAAGCTGATCAGATAACTCCCTGGTTGGTCTGAAGTCCTTCTATCTCCAGGATCTGTACAAATCGGCACATTATGCCAAAAGTCTTCTCACTGGGTGAGCTGCTTTGCAATATACTTCACATTGTTAGAAAAGGCTCCAGAAGGCCTTGGGGACATCAGTATCAGGGGCTGGAGCTGGACAGGCTCTTTCATCAGCACTTCTCCTTCCCTTTGCCAGCCAGGACCTCACATACTGTTCCGGATTGAACTGTCCTAGTGATGGTCCATTACATTTAATGAAAACCAGGCTGGACAGTCGGCTGACAGAGAGAGCATTCCTTTTTGCAGTAAGGATATCGTTCATGCAGCTGAATACCCGCTCACACTCACTAGTGGAGACAGCGATGGTTCGGACTGCTTTCAGTAGAGGCTCCATGGCAGCAGGTGTACGGGATGCCCTGGTTTCCTTGTATTCGCGAAAGCCCTGAACAGTCTCTCTTCTGTCCACTTTCAGCACTTCGCACAAACGTAGCACCTCTACCTCCCCATACTGTACGTCTAACTCCTCTTCAGGCCAACTTCCAGGATGGATAACTTTCATGTCCTGGATTAGCTGATTGT